TTTCCTAGAAATTGTTGCAATAATACAGGTGAATTTCGAATATGCTCACATCAGTGCATCTCAAGAGATCCACTCCAATTGCTTTTCTACCTCCTCTTAGATCAAAACTGATAGATATATGGTATGAATAAGTTTTGGTGCTGTAATGCAGCGGATGTGAGCGGCTGCTCATAATATCATCACAGCAAAATCATTAATATACCCTGTGCCAGAGCACTGTCACTTACATGCATTAGCTGATTCGAGAGATCAGTATTGGCCTCACGTAGGCCACGAACTAGCGCGAACAGAAAATAGATGATGAGTAGGAGTAGCAATAGGACAGGAATGACAATACCCGGCGATACCATATATCTGATCGCTTGAACAAGACCTCGGCTGAGATTCTTGTGCAGTACTTGTGTGATGACACTGTAGAACGTTGGTTGACTTCTGAATCAAATTCGTTACTGTTTTATTCAGTCGACATAGCGTTTTCATTTAATAGACTCAGTTTAGAAGCAGCAGCACTTTTTGTTGCAATGCTTAAGAGATTCTATCGCCACAATCAGCTTAAATGAATAGATCACTGGTTAAGGTTCAAGCGAACAATCTAAAAAAAAACAGCCTCTAACACCGCATTAGTGTTGGCCGTCAAACAGTACAATAGGTTAGACCAGTGGTTCTCATATTCGGATGCTCCATTACCCCTTTTGATGATCTGGCAGGCCGCCTTTACCCTCCCCCCTCTCCCTCTATTAAATATGGAAATCGCACATGTTATGTTTAATCTTATTAGCACGTCCATGATGGTATTCGATATCGTTAGGCCTTCTCTTAGACCGTTGTGTTCATGCAATCGATTATGATTGCATGAAAAGCTATTGTCTATGACACGCACACTTCAAATGTTTTGCATGGATTCTCATTCTTTTCAGACGTGTTGTATTCGCTCTCATAGCTATCACATGCGAATATCGTTCTATTGATAAGTTTTTATCATTCACTTCGTCTCAATTTCACTTCACAGTTCGAATCAACTTCTCATTCTGTATCATATACTATTTACTGGATACGTTGACGAGTGTTGACAACCAAAGTCAACAACACAACAATTGAATTGAATTGCTGAATAACATTCGACAGTTAAATGGTCAATTATAGAGTGTACTTGAAAGAATGAGAATTTTACTTTGATTATTGAGTGAAATGAATGAAAAAATAGCAGAAGAGAACACTTTCGGTGATAAAAGCTATGAGAGCGATTGTAGCAGCACGGAAAAGAATGAGAATCCTGTTAAAACGAATGAAAAGTCCGTTAGGCGCTTACGGGCTAATGAAACCACGAAAACTATTGCCATCAACTCACCGCATTTACATATCCGAGTTAAAAATCACCATCACAATGATAACAACTGCACGGAATACTAATTTCTCGACCCCTACATTACCACTAGACACCTCCAAATTACACAAAATGGACAATCTCTCTTTATGAGAACCACTGGGTTAAACGAACGCAATTGGAGAACTTACCCAAAGGGTCCACAAATCTTCGACGGCTTCTTTGAAGCGATAACATAGCCAACCGGTAATGTACACAGAAACAACATCAACAGTAATAACATCAGATAGAAATTGCTCGACCTGTGAATTGTTTTCACATGCAATAGTAACAATTGGATACGCATATACGATTACTCTAATTTGCATGTCTGAGATTTAAATGAAACATGACATTTAAAAATTATCGAATATTCTTTATGTTGATGGCTCGACTAATTGCATATTCGTAAAGTTACCTTGAAGCTCTAAAAATCTGCCTTGCGGGTACATTGCACGTCATAACGGCCCATGCACGTACATACATAAGAATAATAAGTTTGATGTTATTGATGGCCGGAAGCATTGGTACAAAAAATAGTCCCAACCAAATCATTCCTTGATTATTCACCAAATGCAAAACATTTTCAGCCACTTTGAATTCACCATACTCCGGCTGAAAGTAATCATTTGGGATATTGAAGTGTCTTTTCGGTGATTCATCTCCATCATGATCAAAACGTACACAATCGATCGATTTTGATCAGTCATCATTTGCAAATTGCCAATTTGGGTCAAGTAAGGGTGAACAGCAATAGCTGCTGCAGTTTGAATGAGACGTCGAAGAATTAAGCTATCCTTCAACAGCCATAAAAATGTAATGTACTCACAAATGTACATTCCAAGTTCCAAAACCACCACAAATTACAATATCGGACCCATAAACCTCGCAGAAAGTCGATGACCAGAATTGATGCTATTGTCATCACTAAATCCATCGTGACCAACTTGGTGATCTCCTAAACGAGAGCACAGATTCATCAATTAACTCCATCGGAGCAGATAAATCCAAGCTGTGGCTGATTTGCGGAGTTTTTGAGAGAACTCTGCGAACAAATTCAGCGAAAGTCAACGAACTCGTTGACAGCTAAGTGGCAAAAAAGAAAAAAAAACATTCGTAAAACAAACCTGCCCAATCAAATTCTCCCAGC